CACGTGCAACAATATGGCCCAGCATCAATTTTCTATATAGCCTTTTAATAATTAGTTTTTACTTTTATTTTGGAGTCCATTTCCGTTTTTAAGGGGAAATAATTATAAAGGAGCGTGCACATAAACTTTCCTTTTTACAGAAAAAGGCTCCAAAACTTTTAAACATCATTTCCTCTGCAGATAATTGAAAATCTGTCCTCAATGGATAAAAATCTCCTCGTGAATCCTGTAACTGTGTCTTTGTGTGATTCTCATATTTATGAGAGTTGCAGTCACAGTGGTTCCTGGCGGTAAACGAGAAGAACCAGGCCTACCTGAGAGTTTGTACTGCGGGCCGTCAGGCGACAGCAGCGGGTTGGAGCTGACCACCGAGGCCGAGCAGGAGCCGTTAAGTAATCCGTCTATGGAGAAGGGCACGGCGGCCGCGGACTGCAGCTGGTGCCCGCCGGCGAGCTCGTAGACGTGCTGGTGTGGATGGTGGTGGTGGTGATGCGGGTGGTGGTGGGCACCGAGCGGGTACGGGAAGCCCACCAGCCCGGCCAGGGAGCCTCCGAACTGGGCGTGAGGATGCTCGAGTACCCGACTGTCCATGGTCGCCGGGGCTGAAGACGCAGAGGGAGGCGGTGTGGCTGAACATGCAGTCCGGAGAGGAGGAGAAGGAGGAGGAGGAGGAGGTGAAGGGAACCCGGGCAGACGAGCCTCTCCCGCGGCCACAGATCGGTGTGTGGAGCCAGTGAGGCGGCGGCGGGGACCGGGGCTGCACGCGCTGTCTCACGGTGACGGTTCTGTGCGCGAGCCTCCTCATTAGGACTCCTCCGGTCTGCTGCCCGGACCAATAGGAAGCGTTAATGGCCCCGTGACGTCACAGGCGCGGTTAATGGGGTAGGCTAAGAGCACGAGGTAAAAACAGAGAGAGAGAGAGAGAAAGTAGGTAATCTCTCTCTCTCCCCCCACTCTCTCTCTTTCTCACACTCTTTCTTAATTTCTCCCTTTCTTTCTCTCCCCTCTCCCTCTCTCTTTCTTTCTTTTCTCTCTCTCTTTCTCACACTCTTTGTTTGCCTCTCTCCTCTCTCTTTCTTTCTCTCCTCTCTCGTTTTCTCATTCTTTATTCCCCTCTTTCTTTCTTTCTCTCCTCTCTCTCTCTCGTTTTCTCTTTCTTTCTTTCTCTCTCTCTCTCTCTCTTTCCGGATCGATGGTTAATTACACCTGATGCAGTTCTTTAATTGAACGCTGTCAAAACACTCACACAGAAGTGATTGATAGAGCGACTCCTTCAAATTCTCAGGAATAGAAGCTGCATCCTTTATATTTTTCATATAAAACACATTTCCTGCACCACAACAAAACTTATATTGGGTTTGAAAAGTAGATTAATTAATGGTTACCAAATCATTTATCATTGATCGGCTATTAGCCAGTAATAAAAACAACTTTGACGTTGCCACATTGCTGGATATTCTCTGCGGCTGTGGATCAATGGCTTCGTGGGCTAATGGGCTCAGGCCCATGGGATCAGCAGCCACTGATTTCACCTGTTCACCAATATTGTGCATAATAATATGCAAGAAATGACCAAAATGAGATTCAGAAGATCACCAAATGACCAAACAAGTGAGCTAAGTGACCAAACAAAGATGCATAGTGTTGTTTAGGAGATGCACATGCAGCTGCATCAGTGGTTGATTTGTGTGTCTGTCAGTCGGGGTGTTCGGTTCCTCCGAGGGTTCAGGGGCCTTTGATATCAGGGGCCCTTTGTGTCATAATCCATCCAGGCCCTTTGCCTGCTGTTAAAGCTCTTTACCTCTTCAAGATAAAACCATGCTAACATTTAGAACTGCTGTAATGACTAATTAGAAACGCAAAGTACTTATTAATAGTTTAACACTATTTGTAACTTCATTATAACGGAACAGAAGCAAATGTATTCACACATCACACAAAATACTGTGTTTTCAGCTCCTTCAGTCACGTGCTGATCTGTGATCAGTCTGTAGTAGTATTGATGAGCAGTTTATTAATGGACTCTGGTCAACATGTCCTGCAGCTGAGGAGAAGCGGTCAAACAGTTCATCACACAGGTTCATTACAGATATGATGGATCATGAAGGGGGATTATCTTCCACAATCTGGCAACCCAAATGTAACTGATGTCTAACTTATAATTGATCTATAGATAAATAAATGAATAAATCCATTAACTGCAACTTAGATGTACTTTATACCTGTTAGAAGGTGGTGCATTAACTTAAAGGAGCAATATCTTTCCTTCCTCCTCATATCTCGTCTCTGCTCCGCTGTCACGTGTGTGTGTGTAAGTGTGTGTCTGTGTGTGTTTCAGTGTGTGTGTTTCAGTGTGTCTTACAGGGGCATTCAAGGCCAGATTGATCCAATAACAGCACCTTTATCATCCCCCCTTTTCCTGAGCTGTCACATCGCATTTAAAACTACAAGCCTCTTTCCATCACCCAGGCACCCCCTCACCCCCACCCCCACCCCAACACTCTCTCTCACACACACACACACACACACACACACACACACACACAGAGAGACTCCAGTCAGCCATTACTGTGCATGAAGACATAATAGGAGAATGTTGGATGAGTTGTAACATGAGGGTTCACACTGGATTATTTAAGTCATTTCAAACCTTTACATTTTTGGTGTTTACTTAAAAAAAAAGCTTCACAATAAACAATCATCGTCACAGGTTTATTTATTCTTAACCTAACGCAGCCATTTATTCAGTCATTGCACTAAAAAGTAGCTTCTCATTAACAACAACTTGATTTGCAGTTAAATACAGTTAATGCCACACTTTTGGTGAAGGTTTGGTTTCTGTTCAAACAGACTGTTACTTATTTACTACTGTTTCTGAACCCAGTCGATACGGTGGAGTCTTTGGTTTGTGAGTGGCAGTTAAGTAAAAGATGACATCACCCACCCTGACTGTGAGAAAGGGTGTTTTTGGACATTTCTACCGATATCTGCGAAGACAACAGACACCGCTTTTGTCTTTTTCTTTGTCAGGTGACTTTATGGATGATTGTGGGATATTTTGTGTCATAGATTTTGAATGCAGGAATGTATTATCAAGATTTCAGAGTCGACCGACCGATCGACCATCGAAGAAGAATTTATTTATTTGCCATAACAGGTAATTCTGTCACCCTGAAAATGAGTGTGGCTATCGCACCCATCTTGTTTTTTTTTTTATTAAAAGCTATGGACACAACAACGACGAGCAAACCCATTTGACTAAAATCCGAACATGCGAACACAAATTGAGCATTACTCTGTGTGAGCCTAGTGGAGGCCAAGACAACTGCAATTACAATCCCTGTTGAGCTGAGGGTCTTGTCTCATGCTGGGGAAATGGTGCTCGGATTGAAGTGTGCATTGGTAAATGAAAGGATTTGAAATTTACAATCACGGCTCAGGCCATGAGCAACTGGGTGTCCAGGTGGACATCTTTGGGGGGAAGCCACGGAGTGAGAGCATTGGGGGGGGGGGGCGGGAGAAAGATTATACATATAAATTGTAAATGGTGTCGCAGGGGCCAGATCTTGCCCGAGGCGGTGACTGCTTCATTTTGTGTTAAATTTCTTGACAGAAAGCCACCCGCGTGCTGGTGAATACTGAATGGTAATCAGAGCTGGTTGAATAAGTGCCTCCCCCCCCTCCCTCTTCCATTACTGTGAATTAATTCGACTTTATTTATCCAATTTCTGGAGCTGACAGAATGTTAATTTGAGTTGAGATTTCTCTCTGCTGTTCTGCCTGTGACCCGTAGCCCTGGGATTGGCGTGTTGTAATAACCTGAATCTTTCACCAGAAGCTCCGATAATTGTTACCTTATTAGCATGTTAATTGTTTAATTAATATTATTATGAAGAACCATATAATCCCTCCGTTACTTGACCCCGAGTCCACACACGAGCAGGCTTTCTGCATTTCAATGTCTCGTTTTTAAATGGGCTCTTTAATGTTGGCTGGCTGTTATAAACCCCCTTTCCTCAATCTTAGTGCAACTTTGAACGGCTTGAGAGGCGCTTTTGATGTCCCCCCCCCCCCTTCTCTATCTCTCCTTTTTCACTCTCTCTATCCCCTTTTTATTTCTTTGCCGCTTTTTCTGATGCGTATTTATTTTCCTGCTGCCATTTTTTGAACACCAAAAATCCTACGCCTTCATGTCATTTGCTTAAAAAAGCTTTTTCTCTTTTCAAAGCATTCCTCTCTTTACTTTCCCAGTGGCTGTGTGAGCCAAACACATGCAGCGCTCAATGAAAAGCAGCCCTTGACACGAGGTCCTAAGAGACCGCAGCATTTAAATTCGCCTTTCTTCCTTCCTCCTCCTTTTTTGCCGGGCACGAGTGACATTGTCAGATGCTAGCTTTAATTAACTTGATAATAAGATGGGTGACTCGCACACAGGCCAGGGTTCGGCTTGCCTCGCCTGCAGCCCCCTCCCCTCTCCCTCTGTCTCTGAGCAGGCAACACAACCAAACCCACACTTAAAGGAGGATCAGGCAAAAACACAGCAAAACATTGGTCCCTGCTGAGGTGACTGCTTCTAAGCTGTCGTAGAAGATCTGAGGAGGAAAAACACTTACTTCTCATATGGTCGTGATACATGTCAGAGAGCCTGTGAAGTCAGGGAATCCCCAAATAAAGAACAGATCACTTTTCTAAGCTCATGTCAGAATGAAGTCAGATCTTTTCTGAGGCTACTGAACATTTTTCATGTCGTGCAAAACATAATATGTCTTATACAACATCCACTTAACGGCTAGTTGTCTGCTTGAGTCTAATTTGATTAGATATCTGTAATTAACATATCTGTAAAAAACAGTTTGAGTGTTAACACGTTATTATTTTAATTTACTTTGATCTATAGACCGAAATCTTTCTCTGCTATTACTTATGTTTCTTTTACACTTTTCTCATGCCATTACTTTTAAATGATATATATATGTATATATAGAGTGTATATATATATATATTCCATCTGCTGTCTTTGATTTTAGATTTTGTTTTATATCCTACATTTTTCTAATAACAGAAAGGTGCTATTTAAATACACGAGATGAGAACAACCTAAAATGACAGAAACCATCTCTGAGGAAAACCTTGCACTTTTCAGTTTGGTCCGTGTCCCACCTGCTAACATGGAGAAAGTGGACGTTTTGACCTATACCGCAGCAGGCCACCAGGGGGCTATCATGAGCTGTCACATCGTCCATCTTTATTTACAGAACAGTGCCGGCACAAATAATTAACCAGTAATGGCCGACACCAGGAGAGGCAGCAGACACATCATCCAGCCACTGGACAGTTGTTCTGAGTTAATCTTTGCTTAAAAGCACTTCAGCCGTGGTTACTGGAGGGAACCAAACACTTCCTGCCAATCACAACAACCCTACTTCTCTTGTATTTATAGACCAACACTGCTGCCAAGTTACATGAACGACTCAGGAATGAAGAGCGAATATTGAGGGGACGGGACATTTGCCATCGGGGCCCCAAGACTCTGGAACGTAATCTTTTGAAAGGAATAATCCTGACTTTACTCGAGGTGCCAGGCTAATAGGTCTTTTATCTTTTATTATTTTTATTATTGCCATTATTATTCATTTATTTTGATTGGCATTTGTTTGTCCTGCGCTGCAGCACTTTGTACCGAGTGTTGAGAAGTTGTTATTATTATAGTTTTTTAATATATCTTGATATTTCATTGCCTATAAGGTCATTGTGAGGAATTACTTGAGACT